AGAATTGTATGAATTCAAAGTTTATCCAGGCAAATTCACCACTAAAAACGTCTTTCGTTGATTTGAACTGATTCTTTTCGATGCTCGAATATTAAAATGTTCGCTTATTTAAAATCATAAAACTTTATAGATTGTATTTAAATGAAGCACTTTACGATACCGAATTTGGATCGAGTGTGAGTCCCTTCGGGAGAGAATCTGGAGGATATGTGCTGTACACGACAGTTCCTTGAGAAAGTGCTGCTTCGAATGGTTGAATCAATAGAGGAAACGTTGCATTCACTGGTACCTTCAAAATGTACTCGTAATATCTGATAAACTTAAAGCAGCTTGGCTATTCACATAGTTCAATTTCAGTCTCAGTACTCAGCAATCAGCAATACGGAATCACTGCACTTTCCTAACACTCGTTTGATGGGCTCTAAATGTTTTGCTTTTCTGACTGTAAGTTATTCATGAAGTTCAGATGAATTTCTGTGCAAAGGACGATGCGTTTGAGTGAAGCAACATGAAGCTGACATTTGAGTGAAACAGCATTAAAGTTTAACTGCTGAAAGGCTTTCAAGGTGTCAAATTGAAAGAATTACTGACCTTTACGTCATACGTGAGATTAGGAAAAACCGGATATTTATCACGATCGGCAATGATGATCACATTGAGGACGTGCTCGGCAAACGCAGAACCAGCGTCAACACGTAATGTGACATTGACGTTACCATCTGATAACTTACTCTTCACCCGCAATTCATCACCAATCATCTCGAAATATTCCAACGAATCGCTTTCGATAGCCGAAAATATCGGTGGCGAAATCGTTTGTGTAGCGGATACTCTTAACGAAATATGATTATCGCTAATGACTTTTCAAACAAAATAAGCATCGAATAGCTCACACACACAACTGATCAACGATAAGAACAGCTGAAGGTAAGAGGAACGTGATTTAGGCGTGCCACTGAGAACAGGAATAATTTATACGGATGATCGAGCAAACATGCCGAAACATTCAAAAAGATATTTTACTTTTGAGTGATTGTTCACACTACAAGAAGTGGACAAAAAGTGCATCTTGCTGATACAGTTAACAACTGACATAAATTCATGCTGAACTTACTTCAAAACTACACTTCCGGGCGATTTCGACGAGGAAACGTAAACCCTTTTGGGAAGTGGAAGAAAACTGATTTGTTCGACACTATTCGAGAGAATATTTATTCGAACGACGGTTTCGGTTTTTCGCGGAAATGTTGGTGATTGATCGACGGCTTCAACAATGAATTGCAGCGGTGTTCTATCTTCTGATGTCAAGCGAACTTTCGTTGACAGCTGTCCTGTCTGAAAGCAACGAACTGTATGTGAGAATGAACTAAAATAATACCAATAAAAAATTTAGGAAACAAAAAAAATGATAGCAGTGAGTGTGCAATTCGAATGAACCTAATGTTGTCGGGTGGAAAGGCTGAATTTAGAGTAAATTAACGAGTGACGATAAAATTAAGGCTTTTTGAATTAATACTATGGTTATATCGTCCAATCCACAAAAACGACTGAAGAAGACTAAAATCAAATCGAAGACTCTAGGTTGATTGTCTCAGCTGATAGTTTTCAATGAGGGACTAGCGCGAAAGTTTATCGTAGAGGTGGCAAGAGACCTATTTTGATCAGCCAATAGATATCAGAGCATTTCTAGACGGAACACTCAAACATGTACTTTGGGATTAATGCTGAATTTCGATAGTCTATCCGCAGCTCTTGAATCGTCCGTAGGCGCGAATCGGTAGACGATCTGTCCTTCAAGACCTGGATCTGGATCGTCAGCGTGTAACGTCACCAAAACCGAACCGGCTGGAATCGGCGCGACCTTTGTCACATCGTATCGAAACTGAAACCATTGCTATCATCACAATTCTGGTTGTTTCTCTGTGATCTATCAACAAACTGACTTCACGTTAGTATCCGACATGCGAAGAATACTTTTGAGCTCAATCGTTTCGAATAGCAATTAACTGCAAAGATGAACCTGATCAAATTCAGGAGCAGATGGATTATCGTCATGAATATTGATGAAGAGAT